TTCTGCATGTCTTTTTAGGTGGTCTTCTTTAGAATCTTGTGTGTGTGTGGGGGGGTAGATTGGAAGTAGGGGATATCTGCAACATAAAGGCAAGATTACTCAGAATTTCAAATTAGAAGAATGATTCTGCCTGTTTGATGTGCCTGAATTATAGTATTGTAATGTTAGTAGAACTGAAATGTCAAAACTGCAGAGGTTGATGATTGTATATAGTGAAGCAATAGTTGGGAACATAAATATTTTACAAATTGTTTCTTTTAGATCTTTGCGTTTCTGTAAATTACTTTAACTTAAACACCACTTGTGTCAATAATTTACTCTCTTGTCTATTGTATTGTTGAAGATTTTAGTACTATTTTTAGAATAAACTTAATCCTCAACCACATAGAATCATATTCATTTTAAAAACAAATGAAAACATACTTGTAAAACTTGTTTTGATGGTTGTCACACATTTATATACACCTTTCTATGGTTTTTAGCTTCTCTAGCTTATGGGTGTCAAAGCTGTGGCTTATATGCATGTGGGGTGTTTTAAAAAAATTCCCCTTACCTCTTGTGGAGGGGGAAAAAAGTAGGTTGTGATTTGTATTTTAATAAGTTAAATCAAGCTGCCTAGTTTAGGAATTTAAAATGTCCAGCCCCTGGTTAGTAAAGCTGATTGCACATTATTAACTATCTGTTCCATAGATGCAGTACTCGTGGGGGAATTCTGCGCTACTGTGTTCATAATTAATGAGCCATGCACATTTTTAACTTTCTGTGCAGAAAAAAGCTTCTGCTGAAATGTTGTTGCAGTTCCGTCTTTTGCCCACCAGAGGGCACTGTGGCAACAGAATGCAGCAACCGATCCCAGTCCGATAAGGAAGGGAAAGAGCCTGCCTTCTTCACAGCACCTGTCAGGCCAGGTTAGAGGGGGACAAAAAACTGTTCCATGCTTTTCCCACTCATACCCAACAACCCTCCAAGTTCACACCCAGGCTCCTTCCCAGCCAGCAATTTACTTCCCTCTCCCTCAGCTCCTCCGTTATCCCTGACTCTTACAAGCCTTTGCACTGGTTCTGAGGGGTGCGGGAAATACGGTTCTGTATTGTAGTTTAAATGAATTATTACTCAGAGTTCTATATTAATATATTAAGGACTCTATTTGTCAAACATTTCCTCAATCTTTTTTGTTGTCTATATTGTTACAGACATACTTGCTGACAGATTTTTGAAATAAATGACCAAAAATAATTGAAACTGGTGTGATTATATTACTGTTTTGACAAATAAAATATGCAGAATTTTAAAATATTGTGCGTAGAATTTTTATTTTTTTGTTGCAAAATTCCCCCAGGGATAATGCATTTACATTGCTATGCATTGTCTATTTTGTTAAGCACAAGCCATCATGGACACTACTTTTATTACTGCACCCTATTTTAAAAGACATAGTCCACAAATGTAGTAGGAAAATTGCTGCTTTTCATTCTGACAGTTCACAGAAGACCTCAGCTGAGTCTGCAACTGCAGTCAAAAAAACAAACAATGTTGGAATGTCTAAGAAATTAGATGGAAAATACAGAATATGTGATTATATAGATCAGTAGTTCACCCTTACCTAGTGTATTGCGTGAAGTACTGGTCAACCCATCACAGGAAGGACGTGGCAAAATTGGAGGGGGTTCAGAGAAAGGCAACCATGATTAGGATTCTGGGAGAAAATGTCTTGAGTACTTACTTCAAAAAAGAGAAGAAATAAGGGACTTGATTAACAGATCGATTTTTCAACTTCAGATTGTTTTAAACAGGTTAGGAAATGCCAGACGTACAGTGCAACCTTAATTCTTCTCCCTTGCATATTGATCCGGTGCCTAGAATGAGGCAAGGGTCCTGTGGAAAGAATATGATTGTGTAATTAAGCCTGTATTATAATTTTATGTACATAAGGAGTCAGAACAAAGTTTGTGTGGGCAACTGTAAATCTTGCATTTCCTATCTTTTGACTTTGCAGTTTAAAAAACTTAACGTTTTTGTATGCAACTTCCTTTTTTATAGAACAAAACAAACTGTTCTGTGCAAATGTCACAACCCCCTGTTAACGCATCATAAGCAGAGTTTGAATCCTGAACCTTCATCTCTGCAGTGCAGATTACCACAGTTTGAGCAAAAGAACTAACTGAATTAGCTGGCAGGAGGGGAAGGTTATTTCCAGAAGTGTGGTGGTGCGAACAGACTGCTGGGTTTTGGATGTGATTGGGTGCGAGATTCTAACCTGGCCCAGTTCTCCCTCTCTCCCACCATGCGCACACACACATACTATGGCAGCTTCCACAAGTTTGCCAGTACTATATCTGCTACTGCTTTAGCAGTAAGGTGAGCCTGGCCTTAGAAGGCACTGTATCAGAATAATAGACAAACATTTTCTTTAGGAGTGCAAGGGGAAGAAAAGTGATAGTGATGTTAGCAGTTTCTGTCACGCAAAAAACAAAATTTCAATAAGTCAAAGAAAAGCCACTTCTTTGGTACCAGGGCATTTCCCCTGCCAAATATCAAAGATCTGCTACAAACAGTAGAGGTGTGAAGTTTGTCAAAGATCACAAAAATCTTTTATAATTGAAAGTGTTAGGCAACCTAAATATAGGGATCACTTGCTGCTCACCTTACAATAATGAATAGAATAGAGGAGCTAAAAGTGATCTTCCATTCTCTCCCTCTCACCACAAGAATAAGGGGGAGGGATTCAATGAAATTGAGGGCAGCAAATAGAAAACTAATTACATATTGTGTAGACTTATTCTTTATCTGTAGAATTAATTGCCACATTGGGAGTATAAACTGTTTAATAAAACTAATATTGTTCTAAAAAGTGCTATTTTTAAAAAATCATTTGAAACAATGTTAGCCAACTTTTAAAAAGAAATTTCTATTATAACATGGAAACTGAGCTCTCATTACATATGGCTTGTAGGCCCAGCTTGGTTTCCAGGCAGCTCTCATTCCCACTACCACTTCAGAACATTTTTCACTCTGTTTAGGCATTTATATAGCCACCTTCACCTTTGAGTGCCTCAATTCTTTCTGAGCTAATAGGTTCTCCATCTAGCTCCTGAGCTTGTCCCTCAAATATAGAATTTTATGTAAACCAAATCATATCATCTACCTTTTGGTATCCAAGCCTAAATATCTTTCTGTACCAAGCATGTTAAAGGGAAATTTGCATTTATACATCTAGAAGATATAGCACAAAGGGCTCATCAAATTTTCTCTATCTACTTGGATCAGAACAGCTATTGAGCATATCGTCAACTAACAAAATTCCTCCTGTAGGAGCCAAAGGTGCAACTCCCTCATGAACCAACCCCCCCCCCCCCCCAAAAGCCTTATACAAGCACATATGTGAAGCCACTATCTGGTTTACCATATATTGGTTCACTAAGCTCTATAAAGCTTGGGCTTTTCTTTACCTGACAGAGCTTTGTTAGCATCCTTCAGTTTGCTCTAAACTTACAATATATACTTTATTTATATTTTCAGTTTGTGTGGGACAACAGAGCCTGTTTTTATGTATGGTAGTTATCCTCTTTATTGATCATTAGTGTTTGCTACTGCCCAAGGGTATGTATTGTCAGTTGATCTGTGCATAGGAAAACTTCAGTTTCTGACCTGTGACTAAAAGGTAAAGAAATTTCAAATTTTAGAGAGGAGTGTATCCTTTTAATGATAGCTAGTCAGTATCTTGTCAACTTCCATTCTGTGCTTTTTGTTTTCCGGTGTTCAGCTCTGGAGGCATCTCCTTAGGCTGTTATTTCATTCAGTTGGTGTGCTAAGGGAGTTTTTTTTTCTGTGAAGTATTAAAAAATATCAGGTTTCAGAGTAGCAGCTGTGTTAGTCTGTATCAACAAAAAGAACAGGAGTACTTGTGGCACCTTAGAGATTAACAAATTTATTTGACCATAAGCTTTCGTTGGCTACAGCCGAAGAATCCGATGCATCCGAAGAAGTGGGCTGTAGCCCACGAAAGCTTATGCTCAAATAAATTTGTTAGTCTCTAAGGTGCCACAAGTACTCCTGTTCGTGTTTTTTTTTTTTTTTTTTAAATATCAGATGCCTTTATAGTCAGGTGTGTAGGAGTTCCCTACTGCACAGTGCCCATAATCACTGGATTTACCATTTTGACAAAGTAAGTTACAGATAAGTAGTTTTCAAAAGAACATTTTAGTTTCTTATCAAAAAATCTGAACTTTTTGACGAGAGGCTTTTTATCTCTTGATCAGAAAAATTCTGCATGTTCTGTTCAGGCCAGTACTCTGTACTACTATGAGATTGCATCTGTCAATGCCACATCGTTTGACTACAATCCTGAAGGTCATGGGTTCAAATCTCACTCGATCTCATACTGAAAAGCCACCTCCAGTTTACCCAACTGCGGAGTGGATACCTGATCCATTGGGTTAGGGCAGTCAAAGGTGGTCGGACATGATGCTCGCCACATCACTCCCTTGTGTACTGTTGGCTATGAAATTAACTGTTTTAGCCCGATGGGCCAATGGCTTGGGGGAACTTAGACTTTGACTATTGTCAGTCTAGTTTAGAATGTAATATTGTAGGTGCCCAAGTATTGTACACTTCTAAGAGGAATAGAACACCCTGAGCCACTAAGCACACTGATGGCACTGCACAAGAAATGAGTGGATTTTGGTCTATAGACTCCACTTCTTAATTTACAAATCAGTCAGTAAAAAGTCTGAGTGTATTTCAGAGCTAACTTCCCAGTCCATCATGCTATGAGATTAGTTCTTAAAACTGAAGTGAGATTCCTAGCACTGCTTGCAAAGGATCATCAGTAACCTAACAAAAGTGGTGTGTTCTTTTTTGTGTGTGTGGTGTCTTTTTGTTTTTGTTTTTTTTAAATATATCCAGGTATTTTATAGGAACAAACAAAAATCTGTGTATTTATGTATGTAAAGTGAGACTTAGATTTTTAGTTCCTGGTTTGTCTGTGTTTTGTTTAACAGGCTTCCCAGCTGGCATGTTTTTTGTAAAGAGAACCCTTCATCTACATTGCAGTACTCTCCAGATAATTATGCCCTGGCAAATGAGGATGAGAACATCCAGGAAAAGGTACAGTGGAGATTTGCATATTTTTCAGTAGATGGGCTTGATATCACATGACTAATTGCAAAGCTAGTGGTGGTCCTCATTTTAAGATTGGTTCTCAATCAGTGATTTAAAAAATATGTACTGAATGCTCCAATTAGCTAAGGTGCTAGGGTCTAGTCATCTAGAAAATCTACTTTAACTTCCACCATGTCCCTGTCTCTTAGATCATGCAATGTCCAGGCTCACTGTAGTTTTGCCAGCTTGTGCTCTAAGTGATGCACAATCAGGGTGGATTTGATTTAAATCATGATTTAAATCACTAGTCAGGAAGACTCGGTTTTCTACATAAGTGCATTCTTGTTGGTTGTTATAACCTTAATACATAGTCTTCACAAATCACAGATAGATGTAGATTTCATTTTTAGAAGGTACACACTATACATTTTTAAACAGTGATTTATTTTGAAAACATTTCAGATTAGTTTTACAGCTATATCAGAAAATGAATGATTGGTTATTTCATTTACCAAAGGTAATTGAAGCAGATATTTATGAAGTCATTGGGAGGTGAACTATCTCCAATTCAACAGGTTAATCATTAATATTTGGAGGATTTTCTTGCCATGACGTATTAGGAGGAGAACATCACCAGACAACATTTAAATTGTCTTATTTAACTAAAACAACAACGTTAAGTATTCTGGATTTTTTTCTTCAACAGCAAACATATAATATTTTAACAAAACAAGCAGATGTCCCTCACTTCTCTCATTTATCTCCAGACTTCTTCTCCTTGTCCAGATCTATTCCGCCCCCAGCCATTTTCCATTCATTGAACTTTTTGAAACTTTGCACTTTTAGAGAGAGGTAAGGGATTGACTCTGTGTACACAAATTAAGAGGGACATTAGAATTGAGGTCTGTTATTTCTCACCTCTACATATGTATTTATTTATTTATTTTTGCTGTTAACAAGCATGTTATCCCTGGAGGCACACATCTACAGTTTGAAAACTGCAAAACTAAGCATCTCTGATGGTATCTTCTAGCCTGAGCACTGAGTCCCACTGGGTAGATAGAAAGATTAACCTAAATCTATACAGAAGCCTGTGGAACCCCATAAAATTGGGTCCCTAATCCATGAACTATTGGAACTCATTTACAAAACTTTTCTTAAACATTACATGAATATATTGTCTCATACTATAGAATTAAAATTTATAATCACTATTACATTACAGCTCAAAGATATCTCATCATGGATCTTAATTAAAACTATCTTTAGATTTTTTTCCTCAAAAAGCATTTTATCAAAAAAAAATCCGATTTAAATAAAAAAAATCTGTTTTTTAAATCATTGATTTTTATCCACCCTGTGCACAATCCTGCAGTTCTGATGACCTCAGCTGGAAGAATACAAGATCAATTTTAAAATGAGCAAAACTACACAATCATAAAAAATGGGACTTGTTACTAATCTTTCATACCCCAGTTTGATTTTATGGCTAATGTAATATGCCCACATCACTCAAAGAAGAAGCCAAGTGATCTGTAGTGGGGCTTGAGTTTGTGAAACCACCCTTGTACACTTTGTACTGATTTTTCTGATAACCACCTTCCCCCTCATTAGGATGCTTATTTGTTTCAGAAGCAGATGTCTAAAATTTAAACCTAGAGATTAAACTCATTCCACCAGATCCAAAGTATCTTTTGTAGCTTGTTTAAGAAATTAGTGTGTGTGTGTGTGTGTGTGTGTGTGAAGATGTAATTTAGAGCTGTTGATGCTTTAGCATATTACTCTTGACTGGGTCTCCAGAACTCTTCAATTCAGGAGGGCAATCTTGCAGGTTTTGACTAGCCCTCCTTTTAGAGGAATTTCTGCTAGTTAATCTTTCAGGAGTGGGGATCTGAGTGGCAAATACTTGAGAGAGGTCACTTACCTGAAAGTGTGCAAGATTAATTTCATATGCAGATCCATACTTATTTTCCTCCTTTTCTGGAGTCTGTCTTAACCAGCTGAGGGTTAGTTAGGAGCTACAGTTCATTATATAGCCTTGCTTCTCCTTGTGTATTCAGACATTTAGCACGTTTAGCCTTCAGAATCACTGATTTTTCAAATGGGTCTTATACAATGAGGGGCATGCATTTCCCAAGCTTGTGAATATGTACAGACTATATTTCAAATAACTGCAACTATAGGTAAACAATTTCTCAGATATGGTTCAGCCAAGAGTGTAACTTCCCGCATATGTAGTCTCTAAATTATTTTCTGTATGAGAAGTTGTACCAGTTTAAATCTATCTAGTTGAACTGACACAAATCCCTAACAGACACACTTAAGCAGTCTTAACAGTTTCTTAAATCTGTTTATCTTGTGTCAAATTAAGCTAAACAGATTTAGGCCACATTATAGTGGCATGTCTATGGCACCATAGCTGTGCCAGCATAACTCCATAGTGTAAATGTAGCCTACAGCAGCAAATAGGGTTTTTCCATCACTGTAGAAACACCACCTCCCTAAGTGTTGGTAGCTAGATCAACAGAAGCATTTTTCTGTCAGCCTGGCTGCATCTACACCAGGATTAGGTTGGCATGGTTACAGTGCTCAGATGTGAATTTTTCACACCTCTGAGTGCTGTAGCTATATCAACCTAAATCTTAAGTGTAGACCAGGCCTTAAGGAAATGTTAAATTGGTTTGTGTTTTTTAGTGTAAACCCCTTAATTGAACTAAAATGATTTAAACTGGTGTGACTTTTCTTGTACAGACAAGGATTTAAGAGCATTTAGCTTATATACATTAGCGTGTAAGACATGTCTCTGGATGTTCCATAACTCAGCTTGTTTTCTTTTGTTGGATCTAGAATTCAGGTATAGAAAGGTAAAATACTCCAAGGTTTGTCTCAAGACCAATAGTGGGAAAGTGTTTTTAGTAGAATTAAATTGATTAAATTCAAGCATGGTATGAATATTTATTATCCAATTGTTTTTTTTACTTTATAATGTACTAGGAGGAAACAGGCAGACCCATTGGAACAGAGTCTTTATTACATGTGGACTCAAATATACACAGTTATCCTGGAGAAACTGATTTACTTGATGACTGCACAAAAGATGACCAGGCAAGCTTTTTCATTCGTTTGTCATTTGGTGCATTTTTCAAACATTTTATGGCTTTGAGCTTTTCATTTGTGTGTAGAGGTTTTATAACTATTTATTTATATTGTATTTTACTTGCATGGAGATATTGGGCACAGAGCTGCTGGAGGTGTCATTTTTCAGATGGGAGAAAAAAAACAAGGACCAACACATTTTATTAATGTCCAGCATGTATAATTTTTAACAGTGAGGGTAATTGACTGTTGCACAACTTACCAAGGATGTGGTGGATTCTCCATCACTAGAAGCTTTTAAATCAAGATTGGATGTCTTTCTAAAAGATGCTCAAGCACATAACTACTTGTTTGGCTAGAAACAGGAGTCACTTGGTGATATTCTATTGCCTGTGTTATGTAGCAGCTCAGACTAGATGATTGTGCTGGTCCCTTCTGGCCTTGAAATCTATGAATCTGTAGTACTTTCTGCCTACCTAAATTCCCTCTGCACTTTCAATTAGATGCAGTATTCTTCATTTTCTAAACAGCTTTTACATTCCATCTTTCAGATGGCTGCATTTCAGTGGAGAGTGCAGGATTGTGTGTAATAAAGTACTTTGAGAACTTTGTATAAAAATTACAGTTTAGAGAGAAGTTATTTGATTTCTGTTGAAACATACCTCATACTTTCTAGGGGTCAAAAGACAAAGTATACTAAAATATTTAACTCTGCGTTCCAGGTTCTAGATATAATTCCATCATAAATCCTTCCCAGCCTCTTTGTGTTTAGAGTAATGACTCAAGCTAATCCAATTGATGAGTAGGGGCGCTTGGTTAAGAGTACTATCTATTCCTGAAGGAAATACTCTGGTCTGTTTTGCACTTACCGCATGCACACCTACAAATGTATTTTACAGTTTATAGTTTTGCATGGTGTAGCCAATGTGATTGGGTAGCTAAAGGACTAGGAGTTAAAACCAATGGAAAGCTATTTATTTGAACCTCATTTTGTTTGTTTTCCTGTATGAAAAATGTGGCTAAAATACTTGCATCTCAACTGGGATGTTGTCAAGGTTAATGTTTGTATTATGTGTTGAAACCTTGGGATAAAAGCTTTAGGTAGTATAAATTATTTTTGCACTTAATGTGAGACCTCAAACATATTCCTGTTCCAATATAATTAAATTCAATTGCTTAAACATTTATTTATTTTGTAATGGCATTATTGGTGTAAACAAAGTGGTATAAATTCTTGTTTTGGTGAAATGTATTAAATTTTTTAGAAATATAGCATTATTAGGAAAAATTTTCTAATTGTATTGTTGGGTACAAAACAAAAATTGCAAATATGTCCTAAAGTAGCATTTAGTAACATGTATGTTGCTTATGAATGAAAGCATGCAATGTTCCTTTATGGCAGGGGTCGGCAACCTTTCAGAAGTGGTGTGCCGAGTCTTCGTTTATTCACTCTAATTTAAGGTTTTGCGTGCCAGTAATACATTTTAACGTTTTTAGAAGGTCTCTTTCTATAAGTCTATAATATATAACTAAATGAATGTTGTATGTAAAGTAAATAAGGTTTTTAAAATGTTTAAGAAGCTTCATTTGAAATTAAATTAAAATGCAGAGCCCCCCCGGACCGGTGGCCAGGACCCGGGCAGTGTGAGTGCCACTGAAAATCAGCTCGCGTGCCCCCTTTGGCATGCGTGCCATAGGTTACCTACCCCTGCTTTATGGTGTCAGATTCTCACGTACGTGTGTGTGTGTGTGTGTGTGTGTGTGTGTATGTATATATATTTGGTTTTTGAAGAGATCAGTAATTCAGATGCCTGTTTTATGTAAATACAGGAGAAATGTACATTACATCTCACTTATCAGAAGTCATTCAAATTTTGCACTGATTTCTAATATTTTAAACAGACTACAGAAATGGGTGAATTAAGTCTGCCTCAGGTTGAGACACTACCTTCAGTAGACTTAAATGAAGCTTCTTCTAGCATAGCTGCAAGCATTGAAAACATTTCCAGTTCATCTACCTCAGAGATCTCTCCAGTCTCGCAGCCTGAGTAAGCTTTTTATTTTGTTACCATTTTGGTCTTTATTGCAAATAAGTAGTATTTCCCCAAATAGGTGGCCCTTCTAAATTGTTAGGCATGAGGAATTGGTTGTAATACTGTGTAGGTGTTGGGATTTTGCTTGCCAAGAGTACCATAGCATTCTCATAGCTATATATTTTTGTTAGAGAATGCCACCTGAAAGTATTTAATCAGTTCTTCAAAATCTCCATGGCAACAGCTTTCTCATTGATTTACAATGGGGGAAACTATTGTTGCTACTATGCAAACTTCAGCCTACCACACTCTTATTAGTTTTGCTACATACTGATTTATGATAGCAAGGCTACTCCAATATACTGTACCACTTCTGCAGTGCATCTTTCCTGTTTGCCTGAAGTGTCAATGTTGATTATCAACCTAGTGATATATACTGAGAACTGAAATATTTTTTTCCTTTCACAGTAGTAATCTTCCTAACTGTATTCTATATACATTGCATAGTATATCTGAAAAATACATGTCTTTATCTGTTCCCTGTTAAAGGCCACTAGCCCTCACAAATAGGCTTTCATGTCTTTGCCAGAACTGTTTCACTGCTGGGCTGTGCTTTGTCCCTTAAGGAGATAAGCCTCTAAGAATTCTGTTATTCCCAGCAGCAGCAACAGGGCTGTCCTAAACTCTCTGCTCTGACAGCAGGAGACTTTCCCCCCCTTAAATGGGGTCTCAAAACATCTTCATTTAAAAGAATTCAGCAGTGCCTGTACTGCTTCTGAGGCTCCCAGTGGATCATAGTCTAGGTTATCAGTGGCTGGGTGGCTCTGAAGCAGTCTCTTCAAAGGGCACCTCTGGAACACAAAGGCATCACTCTGCTTCCCCCTTTATGATGACACAACATGCAGGAAAATAACAAGAAAAAGTTGAAGGTAACTATAGAATTCAAGTTGTGTAAAATTACAGAGGACCAACCCCTAGCATAAGAATTTAGACTTCTCTTGCAAAGTTCCCCTCAGTCCCCTCAGACACATCAGGATCTTAAAACAATGCTCAGCTAATTGTTTTGCTGGAAAATCTCTGCTGCAGTACTTAAGCAGAGCAGAACCAATTAAGCCTGACTCACTATCATTAAATTGACAGATTAAAGGAAAATCAGAATAAAATGGACTCATTAAATGTAGCCAGTTAAAAAAATTATTTAAAGTCTGAGGATACATCTGCACTGCAATAAAAAAGCCCCAGCACTGAGTCTCAGAGCCTGTGTCAATTTATTTGGGCTGTGGGGCTACAAATTGCAGTGTAGCCACTGGGGCTCAGGCTGGAGCTCGGGCTCTGACATCCACCCCCCTCGTGGGGTTTCAGAGCATATGCTCTATCCTAAACACAAATGCCTCCATTACAGTTTTTTGTCCCCTAATTGGCCTATTTATCCTGATGCATTCATGGATATTCTTCTATGCCAGTGATGTTCGAGACTCATGGTAAAAATCACAAGAGCTGGCAGCACTCTTAGTGGGCTTCTTAAACCCTTAGTTCATGGAGCCATATAACTTCATGAGACTTTCACCTTCCATTAAAAAATTTCTAGCTCTCATGGCTGGGGAAAAGCTGGAAAAAGTGAGCCCTAAAGGCTGGAACAAGAAGGCAAATTTAAAACGTTTTTTAAAATCTTCTCCTCATTTTTCGGGCTAGTCAATGATAGTATGGGTCCTGATTCATGATTTTCAAATGGTTTGGATTGGCTTCCCTGAATAAATAAGGGAAGAAGGAACAGGGTGACCAGAGAAGGTGAATGTTTCTTTACGCTTAAAAACCTTTTTAATCAAAAGAAAAATATTTATACCTATTTTAATTTCTTTCTATATGGACACTTATTTAAAGTGGCAATGACTTTTAACAAGTGTGTTCAATCATAGACAACATATGGAAGTTTAGCAAACACTTTTATAGTCCAAGATGTTAAAGAAAAAGTTGTATAGCTATCTTATTTTGCTGTTGTGAGCTTTGAGTTGTGAACTGCCTGTTTAGCTGCCTTTTCTGTTAGTATGAGACATTAGAACCACCACAAACATACTTGAATCATTCCATCTAAACTCCTGTTTTTACTCTATAATAACTTAAAAGTTGTTCCTTTTGGACATGAAACTGCTCATGATTCATCTCTGCCAAAAGACGAATATTTTTGGAAACCTTTCAGAAAAAATCAGTTGCCATCTGAGTAAGATGAGAGATTTTGATTATATAAACTTTCTTTATTTTCTGACTTGCATTTCAGTTAGTACTCAATGTGAACAAATGATGTGCACATGTTTTGTAGTAATTTTTTTTTAACAATTTACATTTGTAAATGACTAAACAGGACAAAATACATGTGCTTAGTGTTCGTGCTACTCTTTCATATATGTAAACTACACACGTATATCTTCTGTGGGGAAAAAAAATCTCATTTGTGGCTAATAAAGTTAAGGTATACCCTAAGATTTTTTCAGTTAATATTTGCACCATATTTTATTGAATTACTGATTATTCATATTCACATTGTTTCTGTTCATTCATCTTCTCAGTCTTGTAGGGTCAAGAATGTGCAGAGCAATTTAATATTAATATGTTCAAGTTAGGTTTTACACCTTGGCATCTGAATTTGAGGTTTAATGCAAAGGTGTGATTCACCTGGCTCTGCCACGGAAAGGGATTTAAAGGAAATAGCTATTAATATAATGGACTGAATAACTTGTAATTATAACCACTGGTTTTAAGGATTCGTATTTAACACAAATCCTAAATGAACCTGTCTGGTAAAATCAATCTCTTAAACAAGATAATTAGTAGTCTCCTTTTGTACTCGTAGGGATAGACAGATCTCTTTGCTGCATGGCCAAGAATAAGTTTTTGAATGGGTTTTTTCTCCCATTTAGCATTTTCATTTGAAAGGTGCCAAAATTAGTTCCTTAATTTTTTTTTTTTTTCCTATTGCTGCTTCCGTTGTAGGAGTAGCACCAGGTGGCAAACGGAAAGATTCAGCCTGTAGGTTGCTAACTTGCTGTTATGCTTTGGAGGAGAGGGGGTAGGGGAGGGGACAGCATTTTGCAGCCCAGTGTCAGAATATTAGTGAGACAAGGTTTGTATTGCCCCAGGTGAAGATTGCTAGTGCTGAGATATGAGAGGCCGAGCAAAGGCTTTTCTTAGTTCTGATTTATCACCCTTATAGATAATGTTCCCTTTAATTTTTCCCATCCATTGTGGAATGAATTTTATGTGCACCAATATGGAGGTGATGTGTGGCAGGAGTGGGGCTGAGGGGTTCGCTGTGTGTGTGGGGGGAGAGGGCTCAGGGCTGGAGTAGAGGGTTGTAAAGGGGGGGAGGGCTCTGGGGTGGGGCTGGGGATGAGGAGTTTCGGGTGCAGGCTGCCTTGGGTTTGCGGCAGGGAGAGAGGACTCCCCCCAGCCATCTCTCTCCACAACAGCACCTTGGCTGTGGGAGAGGCGTCTTGCCCTGCAGCCATCTTTCAGGCCCGCCTATGGCCACGCCCGAGTGCAGTGTGCACACCTGCACGGCTCTGCTAATTTTGTGTGCGGCCCTTGGTTGTCTCCTGCATGGCAATGCAGGCGTACACCTTAGTGGGAATATAACTTATAGACCACTGGTTCTCAAACTATTGTACTGGTGACCCCTTTCACACAGCAAGCCTCTGGGTGCAACCCCCTTATAAATTAAAAACACTTGTTTATATATTTAACTCCATTATAAATGCTGGAAGAAAAGCGGGGTTTGGGGTGGAGGCTGTCAGCTTTTGATCTCCCATGTAATCAACTTGTGACCCCCTGAGGGGTCCCGACCCCCAGTTTGAGAACCCCTGTGTTAGACCATTGTGTACTCTTACCCTGTATGAATGTAGGCAGAAAAGGAACAAATCAAAAATTCATTTGTTCCATCTTCTCTCTCCATTTTTTTTCTGCTTAATCTCTGATGAAAGGCAGCTATGGCCTTTTGTTGCTTTAGGATCTATGTGACCCAGCAAATTCAAGTTTTCTTCCTGAAGACTGAAATGAAATAATCAAGACACAAGGACAGATTCTGTAGCCCAGTTGTGGCCCCTTTACACAGTGGCACAAAGGGGCTGTAATACAGCATCATTTGGTCAGCAGAGAATTCCCGTGGTATAGGAGAATGGCCTGCTAGCACACATGTGCTGCTGCCAGGCCCTGTGTCTTTTCATGCCACCCCCTCCTGGCTTAAGAGGCATGACAGTGCTCTGTTCAGCTGTACATATCCTCCTCTGATGTACGGTCTATGAAGAATCCTACACCAGTGTTGAAACTTACAGCCAGTCAGGCAGCTCTAAGTTGCGTTGGTTAAGGCTCACCCTGAGAATCTCACAAATGAGCTGGTTACAGCTCCCTTTCCCGCAGCCCAAGCAAAGCAAAGTTTGGACAGAAGAGCCAATTTCCCCCTTTATTTTGTAATAGTAATGGAAAATTCACTATAGCAAGAGTGATGAGATGTCTTAATTGAGACTTTTGAGAGCTGGCGACTGGGCCTTCTATAAGACCCATGTTGTGTGCTGCTACTTGTACCATGGCAAATGGAATAGATGGGAAATAGATCATCCTTGATGTGAGCGATATGAGAATACACTTCCAAAATAGTGACATAACATTACATATTTCTCTTCATCCACTTACAAGATCTATGACTGACATTTCCATGGTACTGTATTATATATGTATTCTCTCTTTTTCTCTATCAAAATAGCTTCATTAACTTACCTCTTTGATTAGCAGGGTACTTCTAATACCAGAAGGGTAAAAAGCATGTTATTTCTTTCCCTTCAGTGCAATAGAAAATTCCCGTGCTGATATCCCTGTAGTCAGCTCTAGTGAAGCTGAGCAGTCAGAACCTGACTGTGATATTGGTGGGGCACTTGAGGCTGACCCTCAGAGTGAGCCTTCCTCTTTTGTCAGTCCACCAGAGAGGTGAGTGTTGTGAGCCTAAAATAACTTCAATGTGTTTTGCTATGCTGGCTTTGCAACATGGTCATTCACCTGCTCTGCTTGCTTCTGTATCCGTTGTTTGTGTACAAGTTCATATGTAGTATATTAAATGTAGTGTTATGAAGATTATAAAACTGCTTAATGTGTTCGTTATAGCTTCTAATATTCTTGTGTATTTTTCAGCCTTGTGGGTCAGCATATAGAGAACATCTCTTCTTCACATGGCAAGGGAAAGATGACTAAATCTGACTTTGAGTCAAAGGTTGCAGCAACTGAAAATGGGCCAGAGAAGGCGAAATCTGCTTTGAATGCTTCAGATAACTTGAAAAGGGAGGTATGTAATATAACTTGAAATATTCTGCCAGGACACACACAATTAAGGAACTATCCAGGAGTTGTGTTTAAATTGCAAAAATTATCTTTTTGCCTTTTCCTCTCCTTTGATATGTATATTGCCTCAAAGATTTCTTCAAAAACTCATTTCCCCTCTTGCTTTTTTCAGTTTTAAGTATCAGGTTTTCATTTCCCTCTTTGCTTTAAGAATTAGTATTCCCTTCATTTGGGGGATTGAGCTGTAGCTCAGATTACTGCCTTGTGTGATGTGATTTCACTAGTTAGGTCATTGAATGATCTTGCCAAGATCCTTCATCACAGAGGACGAAGGACTGATGATTCAAATCTAAAAAAATTGTAGAAAGCTGCCCAGGATGGTGGCAAACGAGGGTCTTGTATCTCATAGTGGGGAGAACAGTAAAGGGAAAAAACAAATTTTATTTGCAGCAGAAAAAGCACTTTTTTTTTCAATATTAAAAAAAAAAAAATGGTTTCTCTTCCCTGTACTGCCCCATTCTTCTAAGTAAAATGGGCAGATACTGTTGGAAGAGAAAAAATCACAAAACTTACTTGGAAATAATGCAAGAAAACCAAAACAACTATTTAAAAAAAAAAAAACCCTGACAGCCATCCAACACAAAAAGTGGACTCGGCTACAATTCCACAGCCCACACAATGCCGTTTCTGGGAGAAACCATGGCACGAGGACCTGCCACATGGGCACTACACAACACCCCAACATCATGGATTTATGAAGATTATCTCTAACCAGAGCTGAACTATCTGTACACTCCAAGGGACTGAACTTCTGCGATGCCACAGAACCTGATACCATACTAAACATGGGGAGAACTATAAGAGTTCTTCCACTGACTTTTGCCTCAAAGAATTTTTTCACAACAATGGTAACACCACCCACAATTACCATGTCCCGACTGACAGTCATAAGAAAAAAGAATTATCTGACTGGACATCACAGAGAAGACAAAATCACACTCTTGATCATTGTGTTGCTTAAGGAAAAAAATTGACTGTGAAATCCTTAACAAATATCACATCCACCACAATCTCTCCACTGCCGAGAGGACAGCTATACAGACCCTGAAATCCAGCCACCAAATAGCAATCAAATGAACAGACAAAGAAGGCATCATCGTAGTCCTCAACCATGATTATGTTAACGAGGCCAAGTGACATCTGTCCGACACCACCTACTACAAAGAATTCAAAGAAGACCGCACACCACAATTTACCCAGGAAATTGAGGATATCATGAAATCCTTCCCCAAAACACTCCAAGAGAAACTCTACAACTTCATCCTCCACAAATCCAACCCAGACACCTTTTACATGTTCCCAAGATACACAAACCAGGGAATCCAGGCAGACCCATAGAAACCATCCTCAGACTATTCACCACACAAAGGGCAACTTTCCTCTATGACACAACTGATTCTTCCAGAAACTCCACAACATTAACAACCTCCCTCAGAACACTGTCCTTTGCACCATGGATGTCACCTCTCTATACACCAGCATACCTCACAACGATGGCATAGCTGCCTTCCTCAGATTTTTACAAGATAATGGACAACCCTCAGATATCCACCTCCAGCACATCGCCAAATTCACTCATTTTCATCCTCATCTGCAACAGTTTTACATTCAACAACAAACACTTTGCCCAAACCATGGGAACAGCACCAGGTACTAGGATGGCTCCCCAATGTGTCAACATCTTCATGGGTCACCTTGAAGAATTATTTCTGGAAAAATGCACCACAAAATCAATGATATGCTTCACATATATCAATGATGTTTTCATCCTCTGGACAGATGATCTAAATTCCCTCAAACTTCAACCACCATGATCCAGCCATTAAGCTTTCTGTAGAACACTCCCACACTAGCATCAACTTCCTGGACACCACAATCAGCTTCAACAATGAAACCCTCCAGACTACTATATATGAGAAATCCACAGATCACCACCTCTGCCTTCATAGATCCAGTAGCCACCTCAAACAGATCAAGAAATCTGCTATCTACAGCCAGGCATTCAGATACTACAGAATATGCTTCAGGGTGAAAGTGTGGAATATATAACTTCACACTTAAAACCGTCTTCACTGAACAAGGACATTCCAACAGAGAAGTAGATTGCATCATGGAACAGGCCACCCAAATACCCTGAGAGAATCTGCTTCAATACAGAAATAAAAACCTCCTCTGACTATATACCTCTAGCTGTCACCTACCACACACTGGAACACTTACAGGGTATCATAAACTGCAACCCATTTTTGATGGGGACCCCATCCTGGAAGATCTTTCCTGAACCCCCTCTTCTGGCCTTCAAATAACCCTCCAGCCTCTCCAAGCTCATCATCAGAAGCAAGCTCCCCACAGACCAGGACACACCAACTCAAAGTGGCACCAGACCCAGCCAGAACAGATGCGCAACTGCAGAAATATTTTCCTTCTGCTATAATCCATATCTCCATAATACACTTTTCAAGATCCATGTGTGACGGGTTTGATTACAGAAACCCCTTGGGAGCTGCCACCCGATGTGCCAAGACCACTTCTACCCCTGCTTTCCTTGCCAGCTCAGGACTCCAGCACCCTGTCTTGCAGAGCCAGACACACCCGTCTGCTCCAACAAAGACCCAGGGTCTGAATTACTTGCCCCCAAAGCTGTAGGCTTCACTGAAAGCAGCTAACAGAAGTGTTCTTGTCTTTAACACCCAGATGCCCAACTCCCAATGGGGTCTAAACCCAAATAAATCCGTTTTACCCTGTATAAAGCTTATGCATGGTAAACTCCTAAATTGTTCGACCTCTGTAACACTGATAGAGAGAATGCATGGTTGTTTGCTCCGCTGGGTATTAATACATAAAAAGTGATTTTTATTAAATACAGAAAGTAGGATTTAAGTGGTTCCAAGTAGTAACAGACAGAACAAAGTAAGTCACCAAGCAAAATAAAATAAAATGCGCAAATCTATGTCTAATCAAACTGAATACAGATAAGATCCTCACCAGTTCCAGAATGCTCCCTTTTACAGACTAATCTCCTTTTAGCCTGGGTCCAACAATCACTCACACCCCTTGTACACTGTCCTTTTGTTCCAGTTTCTTTCAAGTATCCTGGGGGGTGGAGAGGCTCTCTCTTTAGCCAGCTGAAGACAAAAATGGAGGGGTCTCCCAGGGGTTTAAATAGACTATGGGTCCCACATATGTCTATTACAACATGTGGGGTACCTCATCCAGTGCACAAAATGACCCAATAACTGTGTGTGAAACAAGTCAATTGTTACACTCTCATAGAAAAATAAGACAAACACTTTATCACCCATGGGTGAATAAAGTGATCCATCTGTCTGACCTCTCAGTTCTCCTCCTCAAAGGAAAACTTCACAATAGCTTCAAAAGACAGACCTGGGAGCTTAAATTCAAAACTTTGCTAGGTACTAAAAATCATGGACTGGATTTATGGTTTATCACCACAATCTATAACCCCACTTAACATTCCCTCCAGCTTTTCCCCCCCCCATGACTGGAGAGGTGTTAACTGGCCACTTCACCTTGAATGTGTTAACTACTTATGCTGAACGGTCTGTTCTACCTTGTATTTAGCTGGGATATTTACAAAGATCATTTGATTACCTATTCGGTTCATTCCCTCTGAAGCACCTGGCATTGGCCACTGTCTGAAGACAGGATACTGGGCAAGATGGACCTTTGGTCTGACCCAATATGTACTCCTGGGGGAATTCTGCACCATTGCGCATGCGCCGAATTTATGTCCACCGCAGATTTATTTGCTTCCCCGCAGAAAAATTACTTTGATGCGAAAGCAAAAGGAAGCCACAAGAGGGGTCATACAACCCTCAGCTGCTAGTCCTGGCTGGGCTGGGGAGGACGGGACTTCTTCTTGCTCTGCACGGCATCTGGGGATGGGTCAGACCTACCTCCAGATTTCTCCCCCAGCTGTAGGCAAAGCCTCCCCATTTACCCCCCCCTCCCCACTTCCTGCACACATGGCTCCTCAGCTGCAGGAGGAGGGATCACTGTACAGGATGCTGCTCCCCCATCCACCCAAGCGCTGTGCATCCAGATCCCCCTCATACCCAGATCCTCCCGCTGAGCCTCATTTCACCCCCCCGCTGAGCCCCACTCCCCCTGCACCTGGAACACCCCAGTGAGGCACCCGGATCCCCACCCTACCAAGCCCCAACCAGCTGCACCTGGTTCCTCAACACACTGAGCCCCCCCTCCCGCAGCATCTGGACCCTCCCCCCTCTGAGCTTCCCATATCCAGACCCCCCTGCCGCGCTCTATCCCACCCCCGCACTGAGCCCCAACCACCTTCACCTGGTTCGCCCTGCAGAGTCCCATTACTGTTGCACCCAGTACCTCCCCACAAGCCTCTGTGCATCCAGATCCCCTCTGCACCCGGATCCCCCACTGAGCCGCTCGCATCCAGATTGCCCCACACAGAACCCTCTCAACCTGCACCTGGAGCCCTCCACACTAAGCCCTTCCACACTTGGATCCTGCCTTGTTGAGCCTGCCTGCCCACACCTAGTACACCTGGCATGCAGAATTTTAAAATACTGTGTGCAGAATTTTTAATTGTTTGGCGCAGAATGCCCTCAGGAGTAAATATGGCCGTTCTTATGCTCTTAAAGAGCTCCTCTTCCCAGACCTGCAGAGAAGCCTTTGTAAGCTCAAAAGCTCTTATCAACAGAAATTGGTCCAATAAAAGATATTAACTCATCCACCTTGCCCATTTAATATTCTGTTGATTTGGAATCTGTTTGGTTTTTAAAAAGCACTGTAGTTCTTCATTGTATTTTCTTGATTTAATGTTGGCTGTCTTAAAAACCTGAATCCTGTATATTGCTTGATATTTTTTTTTGCAGAAGGACTATAAAAAAGCAGGAGAAATTGACCCTACATCAGTAATAACCCCAAAGGACCCAGGAGACATTCCAACATTTGATGAGTGGAAGAAGAAAGTTATGGAAGTAGAAAAAGAAAAAAGTAATTTCCATGATTAATTCCTTTGGTCTAAATATGAGCCACTTCTATATTTTACAGTGTTTCCTCTTTTATTAACTTTGTCTAAAATTTAAATATAATTTAAATCGTAAAAGTAAATGCATTAGGATACAGCCCAAAAGTCCACTTCTGTACTAAAAATATATAATACAGAAATACAACTGACTTCCTTGTGTGGTTGTCTGTCAAAATATTATCCCCATAGAACATGGCAAGGCATTGGCATTTGACAGTATTTCATAAACATCAAAATTGCACGAATTTCAACTTTAATTAAAGCAGCTGGGACTTGTGTGCAGCTATTTCATTGCAAACTGTTAGGCAGACTTCCATTTTGCAGAAGAAAAACTGATGCTGAAGCAGCTAGTCCTGCCCAAGTATCTCCTTAACTGGATATAAAAATGTCAGACTTTAAAGATAGTAATCTCGCAGTCCTATAGAGCTGGGAAAGGGAACATTTTCCCATCTTCCCATTGAACCTGGTTCTTATTTCTAGCCCAGAAATGTCCTACAATGACTGTATTTTAAAGTCATGGCATATATAGTAAATGTAAACAAATTAATATTTAAAGGCTTTTATGGGTTTCCCTAAGATCTGTGCAGTTCTCACTCAGTAATTAAGAAACTTGACATTAGGTGGAGGGCTACAAAAAATAGTCCTAGTGACATTTTTAAAAACCTCAAGTGTTTGTATTATTGAACTTTGGTAAAAGAGATGGCATATAGAGAAACATGATGGCAAAGTTTTATCAACACTCATTTAGGATGCCCTGCATACCTTCCTTTGGCTTTGTCACCTGTGAGTAGAAGGAAGTTTCTGAATGAATGCTGCTAAAACATGTCTATCACACCATTACGTAGCTGTGTGTGTAAATGTCCAAAAAGTTTTGAAGTGTGTGGCCATTACCTCCATTCAGATACCTACTTTATCTGTCTTGGTTTTTATAATATTTAAAAATTTACTACAAATTACATAAAGAAAAAATTGTTTGTGGCCTAATTTCACAAAAGTCAGGGAATTCTGCGTAATGGTAATCACTGGTGCCTAAGCCTTGCCATACATGCTTCACATCATTCATTTATACAGCTGTCTAGTGGTCAAGAACACAAGGTACATATTACATTGTGTCTTATTTATAGAGCACCAGTCACTGAAATATCTATTTGAAGTATTGTGCTCTTTTCTGATAGAGAAGCGAGAACTAATTAATTGCCAATTTCCCTTTTGGGAGTTTGTCAACAATTTAACACTTTAAAAAAACATGCCCAAATTCTGGGTGCAGGATATTGTTTCATATAGATGAAAGCTTCCCTGCATTGGCAAATTGAAGTGCTAACATGGGAACAAGATACATTATTTAATTAACTATTAAGGTCCACATAAAAAATGAAAGAGGAACCTTAAAAGCAGCTCTATGGAAAGAGCATTATTTTTAGTCTTATCACATACAGTGAATTAATTTGTACGCTTATGTTGAAGCTTGCAGCTTTGTTACTCAAATGTTGAATAACAATACTTTCTTCAGATCTGAAAAGATTGGGCCCATACATGTCTTTTGTTACCTTGTTAACAATAAAAATTTATCTTGTCTGCAGGTCAATCGATGCACCCATCCTCTAATGGAGGACAGCATGCCACAAAAAAGGTTCAGAAAAACAGAAATAACTATGCCTCGGTAGAGTGTGGTGCCAAAATACTGGCTGCTAATCCAGAAGCAAAGGTAATTTTATTTACTAATTTGGGGTTATGAATGTGTATGTGTGCATATTTTAAATGTGATCTTGTACTGTTCTAGCCACACTTACCTTAAAACAAAACATTGGTTTTCTAAGGCAGTGTTTTCTAACCTTTTTTCAGTAGTTCTTTTTTTGGCTTTTGAAATACTGGAATTCTGTGAAAACATCTACCTAGCATAGGAATCTATGGAAGCTAGTTATGTTGTGTGGTGTAAAATCTTGCCAGCTTATTTAATAAGCGACTAATCCTCTGGAGGTATATGTGATCTGAGATGTATTATCTTCTGCATGCTGTCCTGTTTAATCAGTTCCATAACTTGGTATTTGACTCCTAGAATTATATGTGCACTCTAAATGCAGAAGTATGGATTGAAAGGTCATCTGTGTTAAAGGAAATAAATGTTGCTTTATTTTAATTCTTTATTACCTGTCATAACTTAAGAATTTTATTATCCATTTAGAGCACATCAGCAATTCTGATAGAAAACATGGACCTCTATATGCTAAATCCATGCAGTACTAAAATCTGGTAAGTTATGTAGCACCGTGCATAGGATTTTTTGGTTTGCCATCCTGCTGGGAATATGTGCAAACTGGTCCATTTACTTGAGATCAGAATCTGCCTGCCTTAAGTGACACTAAACTATTCAGAGTGGGGTAGAGAGGGAAAATACTCAAGAGTTTAGAAGAAGGTGGACCTTCATTTCCTCCACTGCAGAGAAAATCCAATTTGGTGGTAGTACTACTTTCTCTACGGTGTTGAGATATGGCGATAGAGGGATGGCTTCACCTAAGTTTTGAGTTTTGTGCTTGGTCTCTGTAGTTTAGTTGCTCCCATGGCATCTGAAACAAGGAGGTTGCTCTGCAGACTAAACCAAGGAGAGCAGCATAGGGAGAAGGGAAAAGAAAACACAGAAGGCAGCTCTAGCCCTTCCCACCTCAAAGAAAACAGTACCGTGGGGTTTTTTTGGGAGTCAAGTCTCTCTTCTAAAGTTCCTATATTCTTTTCCTTTCTCCCCTGCTTCAGCCTAACCCTTCTTATACCATGCCCACTATTGTCATAGGAGCCCTCTCAATTATCAGTTCTTTTGTAATCAGCAAGTTCAGCCTCAGAGTCCAAGAGCTGGTGCCACTTAGCTCAAGATCAAGCTTGGGCAACCAATCTTTTCCATAATTCTGAATCTTCTCCACACATGAACTAGCAGAACATTTAAATGCCATGTTTTTAACAGAGCTGATGTTTTTCATGACACACTATTATTAATCTAGCTTTTTTCTGTGAAATCTATGATCTTAGGGAAGAAAAAAACCTGTACATCCATTTGTCCTTTGTAAAGACTTAAGTGAGACTTCCACAACTGTATAGTTGCTTTTGAAGGTGTTTAAAACACTGGTTTGGATTATATTTGCTTTTTCCAGGTTTGTGATAATTTGTTTGGTCTGTATGTAGGATGGATTACCCTAGGTATGTCAGATGTTGGAGCATATGGCATTTATCAGTATACTATTGAATATATGCTGTAAATCTGTTCCATTTGCATAAAAATTGAAAGTCTGCTTTTAATTCAAATTGTGATTTGTACAGTATTAAAAGTACCTCAGAATTATAATTTTGTGAGTAAACTGATGAATATAGTGAGTCACTGTGCTGAAAATCTGAGTTTAGACTGTAACCTGAGTTTAGACTTTAACTCTCCTGGGCTGGGAGCACCATGGAAACAAATGTATTCAAATCCTGGAGAGAGACTAGGACAGCTATTTCTCTTCATTGTTGTGCCATATCTTTTCTGATTAAATCAGTTAGCATATTAAGTCCTTTTCAAATACAGGATAGTTAAGATAAGGCATACTGAAGAAATGAATACAGGGAAATGTTTAACCTGGAATGAGGCCTGAAAGTGGCTAATTGACGGAGTCCTTAGTAGTCAACTTGAAAGTTGAATATTCATAATAAATGTCATCTGAAGAACTTGCATTATTTACACAGTGCTTGTCACTTGACAGGTGATGTGGACTCTTTTTTGCTAATCCTTTTGTGCTTTGAAATTTTCCTATGCATCTTCAGTTGGTGACAGTGCTCTTGTTTAGGAGTATTATTACTAAGTAATGATTAGCAGTCTGCACAAGCCTGCTTCTCCTCTAAACGGATAGCATATGTAAAAATACTCAGGTATCTGGTTAGAATCCTAGAAATATAGAACTGGAAGGGCCCTCAGTAGGTCATCTAGTCCAGTATCCTGCACAGAGGCAGGACTAAGTATTATCTTGTCCCATCCCTGACAGGTTTTTATCTAACCTATTCTTAAAAACCTCCAGTGGTGGAGATTCCACAATCTCTATAGGTAATTTGTTCTAGTGTTTAATTACCCTTACAGTTAGGAAGCTTCCTAATGTCTAACCTGGCTGCAATTTAATTACTGCAATCCATTACTCCTTGTTCTATCCTCAGTGGATAAGGAGAACAATTGATCACCCTCCTCTTTATAGCAATTTTTTACATGCTTGAAGACTCCCTCTTCAGGCTTCTCTTCTCCAGACTAAACAAACGCAGTTTTCACTCTTCTTCTTTGAGTGCTTGTTCACGTCCATTCCACATTAGGTGTGCGCGCGCCGCGTGCACGAATCGTCGGAAACTTTTTCCCTCAGCGGCTCCCGTCGGGCCCGCAGGGTCTCCCTTCCCGCCAGAGCGGCGCCCCGCCCTCGCGTATATATACCCCTGCCGGCCCGACCCTCCCTCAGTTCCTTCTTACCGCCCGTGGCGACGTTGGAACAACTCTGTCTCTCGCCTGAGAGTGTCCCTTAGCATAGCCATTAGCAATAGTTAGCAGTTCATAATATAGTTAAGTGTTTTAGTGTTAAGTAGTTGTTTAGTTTTTCTAAGGACCAAAAATCTCTTGGTGATAGGGGTTTGGTCAACCCCGGCACCGGCCCTGGGCGGCGGGGCATGCCGCACGCCCAAGGCTTTAAGGCGTGTGCCGCGTGCCGCAGGCCTATGCCAGTGAGCGACCCGCACGAGTTGTGTCTCCGTTGCCTCGGGGAAGCTCACCAGAAGGAGCGCTGTAAAATTTGTAAGGCCTTCAAGCCCAGAACTAAAAAAGAGAGAATTTCGCCTTAGACAGCTCCTCATGGAGGCGGCGTTACAGCCCTCCTCTTCCGCGGCACCGTCCACTTCGGTGCGGAGTGCCCCGGCATCGGTCCGCGACCCGACACCGGCGGCGCAGACTAAGCCCACGGCACCGCCAAGGCGGGAACACGCCCGGCATCGATCTTCTTCGCCGGCCAAGTCGAAGGGCCAGCCTAAGGCCCGGGGGCGCTCCCCACACAAGAAGGCGGCACCGGCGAAGACCGCAAGTGCGGCCAAGGCCGTGACGGCCCCGATACAGGTCCCGGCACCAGTGGCTCCGGCGCCGAAGGGCCCGTCGAGCCCCAGGACAAGCGCGTCGAGTGAGGAGGATGGGCTGGAGGAACTGTTGGAACAGCCCTCCACCCCGGACACATTTGAGGCGGCAAAGGACCTCATTGAATTGTCCTCTGAGAGCACACTCCGTGCTACAGACATTCCGCCGCGACTGCCATCCAAGGGCAAACTGGCGATGATGCGCCCGTCGCGGTCGCCATCTCGGCACCGTTCACGGCGCCGGTCCCGGTCGAGCTCCGCCTCGGTGGACTCCCGGCTTCCCGCCGCACAACGGGCCACAAAACAGTCAGGGCCCGATGCGAGCGTGGCACCGCCACAGCAGCCCGTCCCGAGCAGGCGCCGGGACGCTTCGATGGCGAGGCTCCCAAGACCTTCCTCCCGCAGCCGCTCCCGGTCCCGCGGTCAACGGTTACGTTCAAGGTCCAGATCAGCACGCCGCTACTCACGGTCCCGGTCCCGACGGCACCGCTCCCCGACACCGGACCGGCACCGCCCCACGGCACCACCGTGGCCCTCTAGGTCACCGTCCCTAGCATCGGAAGAGAGCTCGGGTCTCTCCAGATATGGCCGCAGAGGGCATGCCGCGAGAGAGCACGAGGCCTCTTGGCAGCCGCATTGGAGCCATCCTGGACAGTGGCCGTTCTGGACGCCGTGGGCCTATCATCAGCAAGGCCCTCCGTCCAGAACCTCGAGATCGGGCCCCACAGGAGACCGGTCCCGCTCCCCTCGGTGCCGCCCTACCTCCCGTGCGGAGGCCACGGTCTCCAGACCACCGGATGCAGAGAGGGCGGACTCGGCACCGAGCCCGGCACCGTCCCTGACTCGGGACAGGGGGCGCACCCCGGAGGACCGCCCCGCTGAGGAGGAGCTACAGGAGGACGAGGACACCCAAAAGGCCATGACCTCCTCCTCCTCGCCGGACGAAGCCGTGGCGGGCACGACAGTGTCCGGCCCTCCCCCTATTGACCACCGGGCGCACCAGGACCTGCTCCGCCGGGTGGCCCTCAATTTGGGACTACAAGCAGAGGAGACGGTTGAGCAGGAGGACCCGATGGTGGACATTCTGAGCCCGGAGGGTCCCTCCAGGATCGCACTCCCGCTCATAAAAACGGTCCAGGCAAACTGTAAGACCGTATGGCAAACGCCAGCCTCCTCTGCGCCAACCGCAAAAGGCGTAGAAAGAAAGTACTTTGCCCCGTCCAAAGGGTTTGACTTTCTCTTCTCCCATCCGACCCCATGTTCGTTAGTCGTCTCGGCAGTTAACGAACGGGAAAGGCATGGCCAGCAGGCCCCAGCACCCAAGGCCAAGGAAGCAAAATGACTAGACCTATTTGGCAGGAAGGTCTACTCGTCCGGAGGCCTACAGTTGCGGATAGCAAACCAGCAAGCGATCCTAAATAGGCACAACTTTAACTCATGGGCATCAGTGTCCAAGTTCAAGGATGCCTTGCCTCAGGGCTCGCAACCTGAGTTTGCGGCCATAGTGGACGAGGGGAAGGCGGTGGCCAAAACCTCTTTACAGGCCTCACTTGACTCTGCCGACGCAGCCGCTAGAACAATTGCGTCAGGTGTGGTGATGAGACGCTCTGCATGGCTGCAATCTTCTGGCCTTCCTCCGGAGGTACAAAATACCCTCCAGGACCTGCCGTTCGAGGGTTCGGGCTTATTTTCAGAGCAGACTGACGCCAGGCTGCACAGCCTCAAGGACTCTCGGGCTACCCTTAAGTCCTTAGGGATGCACACCCCTGTGACACAGAGGAAGCCGTTCAAGCCCCAACCTCCACAGAGGCAGTACCACCCCCACCCTCGGCAGGAACCATACCGTAGACGGGGCAGGGACAATAGGCGTAGGCGCAACAATACGCCTAACCAAGGCCAAAATCAGGGCCAAAACAAGCCGCAGCCGGGAAATAAACAAGGATTTTGAAGCTGCGATCGAGGACAGCGTACCCATCTCTGCTCCGGATCCACCCCTGGGTTTCAGGGACCGCCTGTCCCATTTTTTCCGTGCCTGGTCTCATATAACATCAGACCGTTGGGTCCTGCGCACGGTGGACTCAGGTTACGCCCTCCAGTTCTCCTCGCTCCCTCCCTCCCACCCACCACCCCCG